TTGACTAGGTTAACAGCCTGTCGTTGTCAACCGCAAAACTTTACTGAATACCTTAAATTTAAGTTGATCACTCGCAACTATTATATTAGACGATACTTCAATTATGTTAACTTTATAAAACCCCTTTTCCAATACATTTCCTTTTAGAGAGTATATAATTTAGTATAGAAATGGTAAAGGGATCTGATTAATCGGACAATAAAAACAGATGTTATGCCCGAATAGGATTTTAGCAGTGTGGCGATTTGTGTTGCCCAGTCGATAACTAACTGCGTGCTTTTAAGGATGAGATGCCAAGACCGAGCTGAGTTTAATACAAAAAAATATGAAAATGATCCAAAGCAGAACACGCTTTTGGCAAATATGTTATATACACATCAGCCACTTGGGAACTTGTATAATAACAGTACAGTAATATAACTGACGGATGATAGACATTTAACAAAGGGACTAGCGCGATTCCAAAAATATCAGCCAGAACGTTAAGTAGCACGATGGGCAGAAGTGGCAGAAGTGGCAGAAGAGAGACAAAGTCATAACAAAGCGTACACAAGACATTGCCTGGCCCTGGCAGGAGTCGGTAACCACCCGTTGTGCGCTATAACCGATGTTACCCGCTCACCCGATACTCAACGCAGCTGCTGGCCTCAAGCTGCCAAAACAAATAAGTTTTCTGCCGACACTGGGCCGGCAACGCGATTACCCGCTCATTGTGGCTCTGGCTTGGCAGATTTGTTGATAAAAAGATTGACAGCGCTGATATCCGAAATAATTAATTGAATGAAAATGCTACAACAAATGCCTTTAATTAGTGTCGGGTTTCGCCGTCGTCGTCGCTTGGTCAGGCAGGGCTCGAAGTGAGGGTGTTCTGTCTGTCTGCCTGACTGTCTGTCTGTTTGTCTGTTTGTCTGGCTAAATGCTTTGTTTTCGATGATGTTCACAAAGTCTAAAGCGGGTGGATTAACTTTTGTGAGTGCATTTAAGGTAACCTACATATTTATTTTAATGCATATCATCACTCTGCACAGCACACATTTTATTTTTTAACAACAATTTCATCAAGATTTATGTAAGTTTATATATATATATATTTGTAATCAATTTGAATGTGTGTGCATAAATTCAAAATTTCATATTTTTTTTCGGTATACCAAAGGCGATCTCAGAGTCGATAAGTTGAACTCGAGAGTCGAACAGGATTCAGGGTATCTCGTAGTCGAGCTTCCTCGAGTATGGCATTCTTACTTGTTAGAGGAGCACGAGTTATGCGAAAGGAGATAACGACAGGTGTGCCTTTATACAGATTGCTTATTGTACGAGAAGTCTATGTCGCGACTTTTAAAAATTATTCGAGCTGAAGGATATATGATAATTTCCGACGGAAGTGTAATCAAAAATCGCTTAGACAACTGAAGTCAAGACTGTTTGCCCATGTACGTTACATGGCTACATGTGAGAAGCAGGAAAGCGGGATTTCTGCTCAAGAATTTATGTGTATAAAAATCAGTGCAATTTACATATTTGTATATGTATATATATATATGTATATGTATATGTAAATGCTTATGTGTAAATGTATACACATGTGTATGTGATGTAAGCACTTATGTTCGACTGTCCAAAATATGAATGGAAATTGATACTTCTGCCATTTGCAGACAACTCTCCGAAAATATCTTTGGAGCTAGAGAAAACTTCCTGTACACCTGGCAGCTCGCCAATCGTGCGCCATTACGGTTGACTTAACTATATAGTGTATATATATGTATGTATGTATACAATTTCAGGAACGGATGGCCTTTTTGTTGGACTCTTATTTGAATAATACACATTTCCATTGCATTCAGTTTCAAGTCCATTTTTTTGTATACATCTACACTAACAGCCTTTTTCGTAGTCTGTGTGTGTATATAATATGTATATGAATGCACGTATGGCAAGGATGAATGCATATGTATGAGTATGTGCATATGTATGTATATCAAAGTTTTAGTGTTACTATTTTATTTTTTTTTGTTTGTTGTTCAATCCAGCCAAAAACCAAACGACTTAATGCTATAAACTCACATATCCATCATTCAATTTACAAATGGTCAAATGCAGTGAATGGATTGTCCTGTATTTTAACTGAATAAATGATAGAACTTTGACACACAAGTTTATTTAAGTCCGCAGAGCATCAAAATAAATAAATAAGTATTACACTTGCGTAAATTGGGAGATACCCGCGAATTATTGTTGATTAATGAGTGAATTACGCATATTGGTACAATCGTCGAATAAACAGACAGCGGACAGACTTTCGCCCCTAGTGCTGTTGTGACAAAAAAAAAAAAAAAACAGAAAAAAAAGAAAGAAAATAGAAAACGGTATCAAAGCCAATTGCTGTCGTCTGTCATTGACGCTTCCGTTGTGATGTATGCAACACAAAAATGAAATATACAAAGTGCAATTGAAGTGGAATTATTCATGGGATTTCTGTTCGCCCGTGCCGTGCCCGTGCTTTGGACTGGCACTGAGCTTGAACCAGAGACAGAGACAGAGATGGAGATAGAGATAGAGACCGAGACCATAACACGTCTACACATCAATATGGGCTGTGCTATCGCGTCACTTGGCGATCGCTAGTCTGGTTGGTTTTTGGTGCACTTCGGTATTAGCTGCCAGAGTTGCACCAGAAACAGGAAGGAAAGACCAGCGCTGTACATGTGTGTTCCTCCTCCTCCTGCTCCTTTTCTTTTTTTTTTGTTTTTTTTTGTTTTTTTTTTGTTATACTGCCGATGGACTGATGATGCCATCATCAAAAAACAACAAATATTCGCACTCACGTTGAAACAATTGATGGACTGACTGACTCACAGACAACCACTGTCTCTCAATCTCTCAATGTCTCCGCTTGCTTTATGACGTTCATTTCTGTATATTGACGTTTGTTGTTTGGCGTTGACATCACAGAGTTTAGCTGCGCCAAGCTTTCGTTTACCTTTATTTTTTTTTTTTTTTTATAAATTTCGTCTGCGTTATTTCAGAATGAATGAGGTAAGTCTGAGTCCAGAGGTGGACAGCTGACCATTTCATGTTTGATGACCATTTTCATAATACATATAGAGAGCACTCAATTATCAGTCACCAGGATTGCACGCAATAGTCATTGTGTTAATTGTTATAGCACGAAGGGGGCTTTAAGGGTTAATCAGCCAATTTGGACTATATCATTTGTATTGCTAAACTATTATTTTGATTGTCAGCTAAAAATTCCACTTGATGTTGTATATTCTTGTCTACATAAATATAATAATATCTTAATAGATCGGCTAGTAGTACCAGTAATCGGATTCAAATAAGCTTTCCATATTTTATTTTCACATGATGACGGTAATTCTACAACTACTGGGCATATTTTCAGACTCGAGAAAGCACTATTAAATAAGTACAGGAACCTTAAAATTAACTGCTAAATATACAGCTTAGATATACATAGATATGCAGAGTTTTTCAGTCCATAGTACAGCAAGGATTTAAAATAGACTGAAATAATGTGGTGTATTTATAACGCTAAGCTCATTATTTTTCCAGTAAACGCGCCGTGTCAAACCCAAGACCAAAATCCGATGAAAACAAGTTTCAAATTAAGAAATTATATATGCATTAAATCCACAATGTCGAGAACGCCAACTGTGCCTGCAAGCCCGACTCATAGGCCCGAGAGGACAATTAACATGTGTGTATGTATATGAATAAGTGGCTGTGGCTGTGGGTGTGGGTGTGGGTGTTCTTTGTGAAATGAATAACATGCGGAGCGGTATAGTACGGCACCGTTACAAGGATTCTTCGTTGATATGTGGTTTTGCAAAGCCTCTGGGCAGATATACCACGCCCCACATCTAAAGTATTCCTAGCCAAAAAGTGGGCGACTCTCTTAACAATAGGAAAAGATAAGTAGCGGAACGGGTGCTCTCTGTATATATCTAACGTTAAAATATCTCCGCTGCATCAGTTGTTTCCCAAATACGGTTTGCCGCTTTCGCCCGCTTATCCCGCTTGTGCCGCACCTGCAATCCTCTGGTGCGGTAACGCCCTTCACCAGCTGTTGGCGAGAACAATTAAAAGGACCAATGTGTGTGCAACCCACGCATGCTATAGTCCTTTTCATATTTTCATAAAAGGCACAAAAATTATGAACTCTGGCCAAAGATGAAAACGCTTTTAATTTGCGAAACCCGCTAAGGCTATGTGCGATTGTGTGCTTAATGAAAAGGTCCCAAAAAGAGCAACCTTCGTCATTTCTTAGACCACAAAGGCAAAGACTCTTGTTTTAAAAATACACTCATACATAAAGATTACATTAAATAATAATTTAATCATTTTACGAAAACTTAACTCAAGTTACACTTATGCAAACCGTAAACATCTGATTAACTACATATATATTTATAGTCATTTAAACTGGCATATTTAGGAAGATGCATCTGATGAGAATTGAAATTTAAATATATATTTAAATATAGACATAGATACACCTGTAAATAATATGCAGGTCGATATGGAACAAGTATGTATTGAGGTAAGAACATCGCGATTATATTTGATATTTCTATGCAGCAATAGGCAAACAGGTAGTCAACATAGATTAAGCATCTGCAAGAGTTCTATTTGGCTTCTACTGGCTACTGGCTACTGGCGACTGACGACTGACGACTGGCTACTGGCTACTGAGTTGCTAAGGTAAACAAAGGAGATGTTTTGAGTAACCTAAGAACCACGTGTTGAATGTGCTAAAAGGTAAACAAACCAGCGAGCTTCAAATGCCGAACACAGCCGACGGCACAGCTCAGTACACACACCCGACCTACCACCAGGCCGAACGAGCAGCCGATGTTTGAGTGAAACTTTTGGCTGGCGTTCGGCGAAAGCTTTGTGAACACGATGTCTTAGCGGCTGGCAGTGCACCGCCAACCTGTGTCAATTCCCACTGGCTGCCGCCGCAGCGGCCACGGAAGTGTTGATGTTCCGCCAAAGTAAATTTGCCGTCAGTTGTTTTACAAACGTTCACGACACCAGAACACGAAACGCGGTCCACGCGCAGTGAAGTCAAATAATTTTGTTTGTCAAGATTCGCAAATAGTTCTCTATCGGTTAATTTCTTTTTTTTTTGTTGTGGTATTTAAAATTCTTGCGCATTATTGCGATTGATGTAAATGAGTGAACGACATCTTTATAAGGCATTTTATTTTAAGTGCAAACATTTATACGATTGTCGTTCACAAATTGAATATTTCAAAATATTCACATGTTTATCTCGTAGCTACTTTATGTGTGCATGTACTGGGTGAAAATGTTTTTCGCTAAATACCTTAGTGACAAGTTAAATGAAATAGTGGACTTTATATAATACGATTACATTACAGTCATCAATGAACAAAATGAAATGCGAATAAAATTGTTCAAATACTCGGTTTCTACAGAATAGCTAAGTGGAAAATAGCAATACGGTAAGTGTTTTACTTTGATGAATATCTTAACTATTGGGGACAGATTTTATTCGCAACCACATTTATAACGAACCAAATTTGCATTCATCCAGGACGGCTTCGATTATTCCATTTTATATTGTATATCAGCGAGACACATTCGAAATAATCTTGGTCTGTAAATCAGAGATCAACATGGCCTTTATTTTTGCCAAACACGCAAAGTACAAGGAATATCGGATATGTGTCCTATTATTCAATAATTAATTAATTGTGATTAGCTTTTGCATTTACCATATTATATACACATTTCTAGTGAATAATTTAAACTCAAGAGAAATACTATATATAAGATTATAATCATTTAATATAAAGTACCCTTAACCGCATGACATCTGTTAATTCTGCAAAATATTAAAACAGTTCAACTTAAGAGATATAATTCTCAAAATGAAGAAAATCGACAGCTTTGTGGCAGAGACGAAATGTCTGTCTACGACATTATGGGCTTATCCCTACGCGTGATTTGAATAATGGAGAGACAGTTGTTGGGGTTCAAGTATATTTGCCGAAACAGAAAAGAGCACTATATAATTAAGAGCTACAGCAACTTTCACCAACAACCAACAACCACATATGAGTTGGTGTCGGAGTCAAGTAGGGACGGACCGTACATAAGGACAACATAGACACCGCAACAAATACGTGCTCGACCCTTATGAGCCCCGGCGAATATGTGTGTTTGCCGTTGTTGATAACTTTATAGTAGGACAATGCAATACTTTCTATTTACGAATAAATGGCCAAGTGTCTGGATGCCTGTAAGTCGCCGACTGCTCTTTGACCCTTCCAAAGGTGGTTTGCCTCTAGTATTGCTTGCAATAAGCCCAGTTCACTCCGAATTACCCATTGTCAAGGACTTTTAAACTATTTTAAATAGGTTGCCGTACACAAATATTTCGCGCATTGAAATACTCTGCAACAACGGAGCGTAAACTTACTCTCATGTACTGCAAATGACTAACAATATGTCGCTACATATAAATTTGGATACTCTTTAAAATATTGTATTGCCAAAAATGTATTACAAATTGTCCAATGTATGTATACCTTGAGCAGATACTGTTGATCAAAATCAAACTCCAAGAAACTTGGCAACAATATGGTGATCAGTAAGACATTAAAATTGATAAAGAACGCATTTTGTAAATACTTACTTAATTTTCACTTGATAATTTCAACAACATAACAAGCTGATCGGACTGATTTCCCTTGCTCTGGAATACAAGTGGCATCCATGTCGTGTATCCAAATTTATGCTAGCTATGATTATGACCATCGGCAACTAGTGCAGCTGAAATATTTGCAGCATATGTGGCAATAAAACGTATCACAACAACGACGACTAGAACATGCAACATTAACTAAGCCGGGCCAACTACATACATATATCTGTAAGTTAACTAAAACTGGACGTACGTGCTAGTTGGAGAACAGTCGTTGGTCGTCGTTCGGGCTCCAGCCACTGCAACTAATAGTTGCTGTCCTTATTTCCGGCCAGTAAACCTTTTGCTCGCCATTCGAGTGCGTGTAATAACCGGCTGTCTGCAGATACTAAATCAACTCGCTGTGTATTTGCATTCGGATTCTAGTTTTCTAGTTTACCGCTAACAGAGCACGTCCCGACCGACATTTTGCCAGTTTGACTGCTTGCCCCGACCTCTTGTTCAAGATTATGGGTAGTATGTGGCATAATGAAAACGTTTTTGCGCAATCTACTTACACCCCCAATATCCCCAAATACTGTCACACACTCGGGGCACAGTTTGCAATTGCACTTTCTAACTCTAACTTGCACACACCCAATGAGTTTTAAAATGTGTTTTTTCTCTTTTCGAGCGGCGTCTTCGAATGCTCAAATTCATATGCTAATCTTATTACATACGCTTGCTTCTACATTTTTTAAGTTCAAAATTGCTTTAAAAGAAACAAACTCTAAAGCGGAAAGTAAAAAGCTATTTCATCTTATGAACAAAAATTCTCAAAGATGGGGATTTTATTAACTATAATTAAGTGCTAAATTCTTAAATTACAGCAAATTATCAGCATTACCTTTATACGAAATCTAATTGGATTAAACTGAGTGATCTGAGAAATTACTATTTTTGAAAAAGATTTCCAACTTCTTGAGGTCTTCAGCAATTGAAATAATCCCTTGCAGAACGGAATTCAAATGCTAACTTCTATACTTTGGTCTAGATGGCTTGGGATACATAGAAGAACGGGTCTTTCTACAATTGATTCCTCTGGCAGCTATATCAAAAAGATGGATACATTGAAATTAAAAAAAAAAATGTTAAATTAAGAGACAAGTTTGCATGGAAAGAGGCCGACGAACGAACGAATCATTCAATCGGACGGAAAAGGCTATACAAACCCTGCTTGTAATTATGATCAGGCATATATATATCTGCCTATGTAGTCGGCGACATGTTATTCAATGTGTTACAGCTTACACTGCACAACAAAATTATAAAATAATAATTTCGATTAATTTGAATCAGCCTGCTCCAATTCACAATTCCTGTACGAACACAAAATATTAGTTTTTGACTGTCGACCGTGTTCCTTATGACATATCCACAAGATACACTGCAATTAAATATTTTATCTTAGCTTATCTTTTTGCAAGCAGTTGAAAGTGTATTTATCTCTGAATAGTCTGCAACCATTTAATGCTAATTGGCCTTGACCATTAATTTAAAATTGGCATGTTTACGAACATTTTTGTTCATTGCGCCTTTTTTTCTTTAGTCAAATTTTCTATAAGCAGTTTCTTAATTGCTAAGTACCGAATAAACATATACTGAACAATTCTCTTCATTTCCATAGACACAGACCACATTTTCCATCTCGACCAATCGCAAACTTAGTTGTCCTAAGTACGAAGGTGAATAGCAAAAGCAATGGAATTCTTGTGTGTTATTTTATACAATATTTGACTAGGCTAAATATACCCAACCATATAAGTATGAACTTATATCGAGTGCTTGGTAATTTCTTTTTTTTAAATTTATAATAATGTAATGATAAATGCAATAAATTTGTTTCTTATTACTGGGTTGCTTGCAGAAAAGTGGTTATAGCCTGTCTTATTTGTAAATCAGTTGTTTTATTATTCATTTCATAAATCTTTATGAATGAATATAAAAAATATTGGGTATAAAGTGAACTCAGGCTTGTAGTTAAGATATTAAGGAATATAATACTGAATGCGGGAAAAATATAGATAAAGCTAGAAATATAATATTTTGTATGGAAACAGACCGACCACTTTAGAAATTGATCCAAAATATACATATATTTATACGATTTATACGAAATATTCATTAATATATGTATATATAAACATGTAAATGCATATATTTATGTAAATCATAAATCAGAATCGCTGACACTGCTCATCCAAAATAAATATGTAGAAATAAGTTTCAAAAACGAAAATATCAACACATATAATTCTAAATTTTTATTGAGCAAACGCAAAATGTGTTTCACTGCTCACGCTGTTCTCACGATGACCATGAAAATCCACATGAAAAAACACATTCAAATACTTTCTAAATTTAGATTTTTTCCACTTTTAGTTTATTTTTAATTGACTCAACTTTGCGTTCCGAAACGTACTGAAACGACGACTCAGACGATAATATTTAAGTATTTTTTAGTTTATAGGCCACTTAGAAATATTATAGTGATTAGTTAGTGATTTTGACAAAAACAAAACAAATTGAATAAATTATCACTTGACGGCTTACTCGATTGTTCATCGCAAGGGTAGTGATGGGTAGGCAGTTAATAGTGCCAGTAAGTATATCATATTGTCTCATCTCTCGTTCTCTTACTTACTCTTACTGTAAATGTGGGTATATACACATGTTTATTTTTGCATATCTGCACATTTACATATGCTCTTATGCATAATTTAACAATTGCACGTGTGAAACCATCAACAGATTCAAGCAAAACAGGTGCAATATGGAAGGGGGCACGGCCATTGACATTTTATCGCAGCTCATCTGTCTGTCAGTGAGACAGGAGGTAGATATGTATGTACATACGAATATGTATATTTTCGATATAAGAGTGACATATTAAGCACAGCACAATCAAACTTTTTATACCCTTCCTGAGGTTGTTTTCATTTGGTCAAGAAATATGTGTATTACAATATTTTCCGCTCGATAAAGCAACAGGCCACATCGATTTAAATTCTGACAGATAATCTATCTTGACAGGTGAACCTTTAATGATTATGAATTGATTTCAAGTTGGGAGTGTCTCCGACCACATAAGGTATATATATTCTTTATCAGTAAGAATATCCGATATAGTCTGTCTGCCACTTTATGTTAGTCCTATGTTAGTCAAAACAAGTAAGAATGCTCTAGTAGAGAGAGCTCGACTATTTAAGTATTCAAACCATACAAATCATACATTTGGTAACTAAGAAAATACAATTTTCTTTCATCTTTGTCAAGCGATGTTAATGACATTTTTATAGATAATGGGAAAGATTCATCTTATAAATTTTACTTTTATTTCTATGGCTATTCTATTTCGAGAAAATAAACTCTATATGTGTGTGGTATATGAGAACGAGTTTTCCAATTTTCTCTAGCTCTTTCGGCTAGAGTTTAGTTGTTGTATATTACAACTTATGCAAAACCATTGTTGTATATTACAACTTATGAAAAATCATTTAGCTGATACATTCACTTTCGAAATCGAGTTTATAATTGAACTAATCTATAATAATAAATTCACTAACTAAAACCTTTTTCGCAGATGATTTTGTACGATTAATATACTTTGGCCATATAATTTCAGCGATAATCCCTATAGTTACTACAGATTTTGAGAGCCAAGAACGCAATGCACGACCGGAAGTAACTGCATTCCTCAATTAAGCCATCCACTCATTGCACAATGACAATTTAAAGTAAAAGTAAACAAAATACTATTTGAGCAAAACTCTGTTCCACTGCCAGAAACATTATTGATATGGACCGCAAAGAACGCACACACAAACATAGTGGATCATTCAAGTAATTAAAACCGGAAATATATTACAACTGAACAAGCAACAATAAGGAATAAGGGGAATACCAATTGTTAACGATGATAGGCGGTAGTGCGGAAGTTGACATTTCTAGAGCAACTATAACGCCATTGCCCATGGTGACGGGGCAACAACAGCCAAAAGCGACGCCCAAGCAAATGCGCAAAAGTAAACCCAGTCAAACAGGCATCTTGGCCCGCAACAACAACGGTGACGATGGTGGTAATGGAGGAGGAGTGGCCGCATCCACCAAGACGGCAAGGACAGGTGTCGAGCAGCGAAGTAGTCGCGGCGAGAAATGCTTAACTGTGCCGCCCAGCGGGCACGAGAATGCTGGTGCTTTCAACGGAATTGAGATATATCTTGGCCTGATCGGTTGGCGTAAAAAATGTTTGTACACATTGCTTTTGCTACTAATGCTTCTGATTATTACAAACTTGGTGCTGACTCTGTGGATACTCAAAGTGATGGAGTTTTCAACGGTAAGTGCGCACGCAAACTGCATAGGCTTCACATTGTATATACCCTGACCCATGACCTTTGCAGGAGGGCATGGGTCAACTGAAAATAGTTCCCGGTGGCATCCAACTCACAGGTCAGGCGGTTATTATGGACATGCTACGCGCATCCACAATACGCTCGCGGCACGGACAGCCGATATCGATAGGTGAGTGCCAGCGATTGCTCTGCTTAAATATTTCATTTTTCCACATGTTTATATACGGATACACCTCAACGAAATTTGCACACTTTGCTTATTGCATATTGGCGAATGAATGCGAACAGATGAGTAGGCGGGCGGACAGCAGCAGGTCGTTTCTAGATGCATTATTCAAGTATTATTCATTTTTTAAATCATTTAAGAAATCAAAAGTAGAGAAGCATTCTTACTTAGTTGAATCGCTTGACGCCACTTGTAGTCCTCCATTACATTTTCTTAAAGGTAACTGCCCCAACGTTGAGCCTGGCCAGGACAAATGTGTGCCCTTGTCACTCGGGTCATAAATCAGAAGATACGCAGATAGGAGAAAAAAGCATGGAAAACCATGCCAAAGTCGAAATCGTTCAGCGTTCATACTTATCCATACATGTATGTAGATGTGCACACATATGTAGGTATGTATGTACATACCTAGAAGTGGAGAAGTGGTGATGGTATCTAATCAAATGAGATCGGTCCTGCTACAGCTTCGCATCGTGCTTCTGCCGCTGAACAGACACGCGATGCTCAATTACAGATAGAGATAATCTACATATGTATGTATGTGAGATCCGTAGCTCGTAGCTGAGGAAAACAGATGAGGGGGGAATGTCACGGTCATCTGTGAAAAACAAACGTTGCTAAAACGCCACTCTTGACGCAATAAGCGCCAGCCAGCCAGCCAGCCTTACGTTCAGAGGAATTGTATTAGGTGCGGTGACCTTAACCAGAGAGAACATTTTTCCAGTTCACGTCAAACAGTGAGTGGTGGATGCGTGCTCAATTATACCCTGCGGATTGTTGAAAAAAAAATATAAACAAAATATATCGCTTAACAATCGAACAAAAAACTAATTTGTTGATCATCTTGACTAACAAGGTTAAAATTTGTATTATGATTTTGCTAATGGTTCAAAGTGCATAGTTGTGTGAGCCATCAGCAATTTTGGAAGCTTTGAAGATAAAGTTTTTATTTTGATCCCATTTAAAATCGGTTGTAGTAAGTTTAAGATCACTGTAACGGAACTAAGGTCTATATTTGTATATATATTTATGAGAATGTATACGCAGATACTAAATTAATCTGTAAGAATGTGTCCATTTTTTTAATTCTTTGATATTTTCAGTTTAGATTTAAATTGATTTCAAAATCGACGTAACAAAAATACAGCTATCAAAGCGAATAACATAATGTACAAATAATATAATATTTTATTTTGTCTTGCAACGTTCTCTTTACCGTCTCTGTCGTCACCAACAGAATCCTCACGTAATTTTTCCATCAATACACGTGACTCAAACGGTGTGCTCGAAAATCATTTATTCTTGGGGCATGATAAGTTTGAATGTCTGTCAGCGGGATTTCGCATCAACGATACCACCGGACGAAATTTATTTTCTGTAAATCGAAATGAAGTCACTATCGGCGCGCACACGCTGCGCATCGAAGGCGAGGGTGGCGCCATCTTCCGCGAGTCCATACAAACGCCGCATGTGCGTGCTGAGCCGGGCCGAGAGTTAAGGTAAGTGTTGAAGGCTTATTTTCATGGTTATGGCTATGTATGTATGTATGTCTGTGTGTGTGTGTGTGTGGAGGATTTTACTATAATAGCTATGAGATCAAATATAATGATAATATAATGTATTTAGTAATTTCTCAACGTTATATTGTTTATCACATCGTTTACTCACTCTCTAATCCCATTCCGAACTGAGACTGCTCTCCTTGATATTATCGTTCATCATTGTTGTTGCAATTGGCCTCACAAGACGCTAGCCAGATCAGTGATAATTACAATAAATAAATAAAGCTTAAGTGAATTCAAAAATCATCAAATTATTGGAAAGCTACACCAAATTATTCACAGTGTTGCAATTTAACACAGCTACATATATCTATATATATATGTAGTGGAAACCTTGTTACACATATTTATGCTTGTGTCTCGCATACATTTGTTTATATGTATATGTATATGTATATGTAAATACAAAATACACTGCGCTGCTGAATTTGTCAACGCGACCATCGCTCTTACGGCGACAACAACAACAACAACAGCAACAACAACAACGACACCAATAGGCCAAACAAAAAACGGCTGACACTCGCGAGGTGTTGGTATGTAGCTTGCTGGCTTGGGTGCAAAAATATTTACACATGCTCTCCTACAGCACGAATGCATATGTATGCATATATATATATATATATATATATATATATATATATATATATATATATGTGTGTGTGTGTGTGTGTGTGAAATGTGAGTGTACTCATACGTATTCATTTGAAGAGCCGCAATAAGCATATGTGAGTGGATCGCCATCGCAATTGAAACGGCATCAGTGGCGTCCACGAGTGGATTGAAAAGCGTTTCAGGGCATTCATAGTTTTTTGTTTCTGCAGGAAATCTACATTGGGATATTTTGGAGATAACTCGCTTTCTCGCTATTCAATGACCAGACCATATGGGCTCGTGGCTGTAACTGTTTGTATGGATGAACCATTAACAACACAGCAATGCTTGTAATAAAAATTACATTGGTAAATTTGCTGATGACCGCTTCGTTTTTTCAAGAACATATATCAAATTGTCTGTTACATTGAAATAATAGTATTATTTGACTTATACAGGAAGTCTGAATTATAGCTAGATTCACGTTGTTCTTATTTGTTTGACAAAATATCTGAACAAAAAAGAACAAATAACAAAGAACAAAAAGTATAAGGAATATATGGAAACTATGGCCAGAAGGTATCGGCATCTCCGACCCCATTAAGTATTTATATTCTTGATCAGGATCAATAGCTGATCTAGCTATGTCCGTCGAAAGGATATCAGGCCTATAAAACTATAAGAATTCTCGTCTTCCTCGCGGTTATCAAGTTGATTTTATTTCAAGAATCCGCTGTTTCGTGAATATCAATACAAATCGATTATACCTTGATATATTTTTGACTCTTACATGTTTTATTATGTTGAACTTGTTGTGCTCATTGCAGGCTAGAGTCGCCGACACGTCAATTAGAAGTAATGGCCTCCAAAGATATCAATTTGCAATCACGAGCCGGCGGCATTGAATTGCTAGCTCTGGAGGACGTTAAGTTGCGGGCACTCGATGGCAGCGTAAGTATGAAAATTAGCAAATATCTATTGAGACAAATATGATTAGTCTCAGTCTACCAGTTTAAACCAACAACAAATTGCAAATGGCTTTTCCCCAAATTTTGATTGAATAGCTACGTTTGGAGTCATCGAAAATACTAATGCCCAATTTGCGCACGGCACAGCCACCAATTCTCGGCTCCGGCCAGAGCCGGGATCACATGCATCGAGTCTTCCAGTTGTGTGCTTGCTTCAATGGAAAGCTGTTTCTGGCGGCGCCACATTCAATATGCGCCGGTGACGATTCAACGGTTTGCAGATGATTGGTTAAGCTGCAAATACTAAATTTGTGAGAGTAGACAAATGCTCGATATCAAAAATTAAATCCACTGGTACTGCAAAAAACAAAAAAAAAAAAGAAAAAAAAGAAAAAAAAGGAAAAATAAAAACACAAACATTCAAAATAAATAAATTTCAAGCATATAAATTAGCATCGAGAAAACCACTTATATAACCATGACCATACTGATATGCAAATATTTATAGCGAATTGGATATACTTACATGAGTGCATACATATGTATGTAAGTGTGCAAGCAAAATACATCATAATTGCTGTTAAAATGTAACAACAACATTTACTCATTCTTAAATACACACATACATATGCATATACATATGCTGTACATACAAATAAATATTAAAGTTTATATAAATATGTACACACATAACAACATACATACATACATACATACATACATACATACTTGCATGTAATGTATTTGTCTGTTTGACAATGTACATAACAATGCAAGCGATAAATATTTTACATACAAATACAACGACACGAACATGAAATAGATTTGTATAAAAGTGTGGACTCAGAGGCCTATTATAATTGTTTAAGTTCAAATTCGTATACACTAAATTTCGAATATATTTATATGCAAATTGAATTCAGTAAATGACCTATACAAAAAGTGTTTCCGTTGAAAGTATCAAATATATATAAATTACATTCATATACAATTATAGAGAGAATCGAAATTATGCTAATTGTAGCACCAGTGTCTATAAGTTAAACAAAAGTAAAACAATGCGTTTTTGATTCTATGAAAGCAGCTAATGATTTCGATATTTTATCAATCGAATTGCAATCATGCTAAAATATACAAATGAATACTGGATGACAACTCGAGAACAAAATCAAGAGCTTCTTGCACTTGCACGTTGTGGATACGCGTTGAAAGTGGCAACATATGAAATCTATAAATTAGTAAGAGTTAAGAGTATATAGTAATTAGTAATTAGTAATTAGGGGTAAGGTCTAACGTATAGTCACATTTTAAGATTATTTTCGGTGCAAGAACCATCATAAGCCCAATTATAATTAAGAATGTGCCTCTTTTCGACAAACAGGACCAGAGTTAAAGATTTCATTTTCTATATGTGTCATTACAGCTCAACTCAGCTTATTCCCATCGTATGAAAGTATTTACAGCGAATATATATCCCAAGTATAGATATTGAAGGGGTCCTAGAAACTATCAAAATCATTGTCCTGATTTCATTTATTTATTTATAATATTCGACTTTTTAAACATCCATCAATCAGATCGATAGGATACAAATTATTTGCGATATATCGTTGTCGTCCAACAATTTGAGCGATCTATTACATATATACATATATATGAACATAAATAATCATATGTAGTAGTGCTTAATAAGTACATATATGAATGTAATCATTTAAAAAAGGCTTACATACTTAAGTACATGATAACTAAGCCAAAAATTATTAATAAACGCATATAAAATAATAAAAGATGCTAACAATAAATAATGAAAACCTAATATTAATCACAATACGAAGACAATGAAATATCATCCAATGAACTATAAGAGCTATTTATGTAGGAATACGAATATGGATAGGGTGTTGAATTATTGCCGTTATATATATATACATATATGCATATATAAATATGCTACTAGAGTACATAAAACATTTTAAACAAAACTGCTTTTAAATGGGAGTTTTCGAGTATATTTATAATATTCTTTGTTAGAAAGTAGATGATTTTTTTTTTTTTTTTTTGCACAATAAGTTTATATACATACATATATACATATATAAATATATGAATATGGAAACCATATCAGCAATATACATTTATATATATATATATATATAAATAAATGCATTATAACAAACAACAAATAAAATACATATATATAAATTAGAAAAAACAAGTTAACGAAAAAAAAACAAGCCAAAATGTGTGCTACTGGCGCCTGCAATTGGCTGGACGAGCAGTTTTTTTATTCGACGACAAGGATTTTGCGCACTTTTTACAGCAAAGCACTCAAAGGCTATGCAGGCACCGAGACTATGACTCAAGCCCAAGCCGAGCGGTTCGTTGGTTAACGCCTTCTAGCACCACTTCAATTGAATTCAATGGCATTTGAAGTGCTTTGTGGGTGCGTCTAAGCGAAAGCATCGGTGGAATCGTCGCTCTATGCTCGTGCGAAAAATAATTTGTGGGAGTTGCCGACTAGGATCCGAAGGCAAACACAACATTCACGACATTCGTTCGTTCGTTTTAGAGGTTTTTGAGCGCAAATTGAGTTATTTTTTGAGCTGATTTTCTATCGCTGCGAAATTCTGAGTTGCCATAAGCTTGCAAGTCTGTTGGCAAAAGCTCTTTGAACATTACAGGTACCGGCATGCTTACTGGCATGCTAACTGGCATGCTTACTGGCATGCTTACTGGCATGCTTACTGGCATGCTTACTGCCAAGTTGTGCTAATGCTAAATATAAGAATCTCCTCTATGAATTAAAATTCGAACTTTTCAGCAATTGCCTTAATATTAATTGTTCTCTGTTTGATTGTTATCAAATCTCAAAATGGCTTGTACCATTTATATTTCTGATCTGGTAAACTATTACTACGAAGGCCGTAAGTAAACATATAGATAAAATAGATGGGAAACTTATCAACATTTTAATGAGCTTACTTTCAGTAATTGTTCGATTAAGAAAATATAGCGTTTCTGGAAGCCAAAAGTCAAAGGGGAGCTCATTTATTTATTAATATACTTTTTATATTTTATATCAAAGTTATATATTTGGTAAGTAGAACTTATAGAATTTGTTACTGTATCAAATTAATTGTGTAATAGATGAACTATGATCATTGACTCCTCATAGAGAAGTATCGACAACAATTTCTGTTAAATTATGCAATTATATTCACAATCATTAATTAAAAACTAGAAACTTATCTGGCAAGAAAGGCCAACGCTTTTGTGCTTACATAATAATTGTGCATTTTTCGAGATTGTGACATTGTTATTATTTCGCTTTAAACAAGTTTTTTTTTACCTCCCCTCGCACAATCATATGACGAAGTATGACACTTTGCACGTTATGTGTATTTAGTATTCCATTAATATTCTAAAAGCCGCTTTTGTACTTTGCGTCGCATCATTGGCGCAGTTGCATGTCGTTCCCTTTTTATCTACACAGCAAGCAGAGCAAGTGTACATATGTGTGTCTCTGTCTCTGTCTGTGTGTGTGTGTGTGTGTGTGTGTATGAGTTTGAGGATGTTGCCTAAAATGTTAAACAAGCAAGTAGTAATCGCATAAAATTTTCTAATTACCTTACCAGCACACCCTTCCACAGAATCAGCTATGCAAACTTTTCACTGCGACGCCTAGTGCCTGTTGTTGGTATACACTCAGAAAAAAAGATGTCTACTTTTTTTTTCTACATGTGTACATTGAAGAATTCTTATATTAGCTTGTATTAGTACTAAACGAACACTTTACATCATTTATAAAATTCATATACTAAACTTGAAAGAACAGCGAATTCTTGGTTCGCAAATGACTTCCCACTTAAGAAATGTTTTTCAAAATAATAGAACATATTTCTACAAATATAAAAAATAATAAAAGAAATTTTGTTCGTAATAATTAGAAATAATTTCTAAAAACTAAAAAAACTCTATTTCATTTTTAGAGCGATTTACAAAAATGTAGGTAGATTTGTTTTCTGAGTGTGGTAGGTTAGAGCCAGGGACTAGGACCGCCACTGGGTGGGAGGGGGGCTTGGGTCTACTCTTTTCCTACTATATCAGCTAACATGGGTGGCGTGACCTATGCGTGTGCGTACATGGATATCAAGTAGTTAAAATTTAAACACATAACTCAGCCGTAAGTGTCGCTTGTCTTAAAATTTAAATGAAAACACCTCAAAACAACACATGGCACAGGCCATAAATTTTTTAAGCAGCCCAGCATCCGCCGGGGCAGTTACCAAGTCAGTGTGCAAGTCAGGCAAGGAACACTCGTTAACAATGTGGCGCTCCGGCGTAACAGTTAGCTAACGGTTGCCCCAAAAGTGTGTAAACTTGCACCAAACTGACAAATTAAGTATGCATGAAAGCGGCTGCCACACACCGTTGCAGTTAATAGGATTTAGCTGTAACATGAAATTAAATTAATTGTTGCATTTGTTTACAAAATACCCATGTCTTCTTGTTGTTGTTATTGTTCATATTGTTGCTTCAATGAGGACACGCTACACACACACACACACACACATTCCACTACGCATGATGCCTGCAATACGTTGCAAAGGTGGCAGTATGCGTGTACCTCTATGTACATTAATAGACATATATATATGTATATATATACTGAAGCTTGTGGGTGCACTTGTTAGTCACTACCTTAACCGACTTTTGAGTGGGAAATTACACAAAACAGTTTTATGTTGTCGACCATTTGAGGGGCACACCACTAGCTATAAATATTTCTTAGTCTGTCTCAGAGCCGTTGATCATACGGTGATGCTCAGGCAAAATATTCGAATATTTAGCTAGTGCAATTTTGTAAGATTAGGGAATTCAAGCAGACAAACATAGATACTGGCTTGCCGCCCATACGCCAACAGAACGTATACGTAATGCATTTATTAAGTTATTAAATTGCACAAACGCGTCTACGGCCGACATCTAAACGGCTATGAATATGCATGGTAGTGTGAGTACTCGTGCTGTTTTGCCATTTTACAGTGGTCGCAGTAAAGCGAGTATGCACTTACGTGGCTTTAATTTATTCACATGCAAACAGACAATGTAGTTAGGCGCTCAAGTAAACGATGTGCCCTTTGCTTCAAGTAAGTCTGTATGTCTGTATGTAAATGTACAAACATACGTACATACATACATATGTATATACATACATATGCATATACATACATACATGCATACAAGCCTTGAGTGTGGACAGCCCCTTGGCGTATGCAACACTATTGCGTTATGCGTACACAAATGCATCGCAATGGCATCATCGACAAAAAGAATGGTAAACAAGTAAGAGTGCTGTAGTCGGGTGAGCTCGACTACGATATAC